TAGCAGTGAGTCAATATGAATGTCAAGTGACCATAGTTTGCATAGATCGGGACACTTGCACTTGCAGTCTCCCATTACATTGTGTGTGTCCATGTATTTGTGTTCCCATACCTTGTCAACGCCCTGAGTGGACTGACAGCTATGAGGGAAGGTGGGGCTTCCAGAAACATACACTTATAAATATACTTCACTGTGATGTGGATACATTTACACCACAAGCATTTATATTTGGGGCGTGAGATTTGTGTGTGTGTGTTTAAAGGATTTTCTGTTGTTACTGGTTAAAGTAACAAGGTTGACAGCAGAAACACTTTCCATTAATTTTATAAAAAATTTGCCTTAGCCTGCTATACATGTATATCAAATGTCAAAGTCATCATCTTTGGTGTCCCGCTAAAAGTTGATTATCAGCATTAGCAAAGATGTAAAAACTCAACCTCAAATCAATAGCCGAGCAACCAGTTGCATTTCAAAGTGTACAAATGTGCTATTTAACTGAAAGATAATATTTTGCAACTGACACATATGATCAATTTTAGATATAATATGCGCAATATTCGAAAGGAAGACTTTTTAAACCCAATTGACAGTGGTGACAGCTGTCACTTCGCTAAATAGGCCAAAATGCTATAAGGCAAAAACAGTTAAAAGAATGACTATAGCATACAATGACAGGGTAAAACAGGCAAAATACAGATGTTAATAGCCAAACAAGAGGCATGAATGTTGATCTAAAATCAAAACAAATCTTCTGGCCATGAGGGTAAGATACTTTCACTTGTCTATAATGTAGTTTTAAAGTGACAATAAGGCAGGCAACATTGAATACAGAAAATAAAAAATCACTACTGCAAAAGTCCATATGTTTAACATGCGGTGTTGAAACTTAATGTTTCTCCAGAGTCAAAGAAATCGCACCTTTTATATAAGTTTTATATAAGTTTAGACACTAAACTTATATTAAATCCATCATTCAACTTTAATTTAACTTTACTCTGTCGTTGTAATTGGGGGAATGGCTTAAAAAATGACAAGTGGAAGAACATAAAAAATAACACATGCAAACAATAGAAAGCAACGTAGTTTGGAGGTCCACAAGAACATATTCCTGTGAGTCAACACCGTGGGTGGAGAAGCTGGAGTGCTGGAAGAAATGAAAGATACATTGATTGTATGTGATGCCAAGAACTGACGATGAAGAGGGAGAGAGATGGATACCGCCAAGGAGAAATAATTATGGATTAGTGCCAATGGGTGTGACGGGGAATCTGATCGCCGTGCCACAGGGGTCAAGACCTGAGATGGTGACAGATGCCGTCAAAATAAGGCTCTTTCGCGCCTCATCAAAGAACCAGAGTCAAAATAGCCACCATGACAAATACACAGTAACACACACACTTAGCAGACAAACCCAACGTTCATACTTAGAACACATTTTACTGTAGCTGTCGGGGTTTGATGTCTATATCCAGGAAAAATCTATGCAGCACCATCCTCTGTTCCAAAGACAAAAACTACGGGTACAGGTGTTGCTGAGGTATTGCTTCAGCAGTAGTTGTTTAAGAGAGTGTGATTGCTAGCCGACACATTTCCAGTTGTTCTGTTGTTCTGGGGAATAGGGTCTGTCCTTTATTATGTGGTCTTCTGGTCCTCTGCCTTATAACTGCCTCCTGACTCTCATCACAAGCCCCGTTGACTTCTGTTCTTGTCAGAACTAGTTTCAGTTCATATTAGTCCAGGAATACAGGATAAGGGAGAAACGAGGAGGAAAGAAACGTGATTGAAGAGAGTAGAGGTGCTTGTCACATTTCCTTGATTCATGTTCTGAATCAAAGTAATGACTCCTCATCAGTTACTTTATTTTACAAGATATCATGATTGCTTTTGTGTCACGGACATACAAAAAATCAACCCCCTTCAGCAACTAAATAATTCAAATTAATTAAAAAAGGGAATATTCCCTTAAAGATCTGACTTTAATCACCTGATCCCTTTTGAAAATAAGGTCATAACTTGATAATATTTTCAAAACAAAGCTTCTGGTTTCAAATAATGAGATAAAAAGCAGTGAAACACAGCTGTGCAAAACAGACTCCAAAAAAAATACACACACACACACACACACACACACACACACACACACACACACACCAAAGGCAATCGGGGCAGAAAGACAAAGGAGGAGGGATAGTTAATCCTTAGGGTAAATATTTAACAAGCTCAGCAATTACAGTGAAGGCAGAGCCCTAACATGGAAGAGAAGGGAATTACAGCCTGCTGACTGTCAACACACACACACACACACACACACACAGACCTACTCGCTTGAGGAACTGCCCAAAAATGCTGAAATTATAGATATCCTGACCTAAAATAAAAATGTTACGAAAAACACAGGACAAAGAGTTCCACACTGCCTGTAGGCCCTGAATTGATGATTTGGATTTTTGTATTATTATCATTATTTTTTTAAGGGGTGGTAGGCCCTTTGGACTGGCCCATTTTCACTGGCTCGGTATGCTTTACCTTTGCCATGGCATACTTAAATGTGATTATATGCATTTGTGTCATCTCATCTGGATATACCTGTGTACCACTATACCCTTTTGCATAGAAAGGAAGTACAGCGTGTCCATGATTAAGTCTTAGGTCTGCAGGTGTATGATAAGGTCCATACATTAGTCAGTCCAAAATAAAATACACATGTTTAACTTCATAATATATTTATTAATATATTTCAGATATATTTATCTTATATCCAAATATATTTTCAGGTTTTCTTGTGAAAAAATATTTTTCTTGCACCCTGCAGGAAGATAGAATAAAATTCCATAAACAGGAAAACTAGTTTTCATCAATCAATGTCAAAGTGTATCATTGAGCACAATTTGCTTGGGAGGCATTTGAAATAGAGCATGCAATCATCTCAGTCATATATCAGTCGAAAATCTCATCGTGCCACTAAACACATCTCAGATGAATTTCATGGAATGATGATGATGATGATGAATAAGGAAAACTAACTAACTGAAGTGAATCTCTGTCTGATGTCACTTTTTATTTACACATAGACACATGGAGGTGCGCTGACACATGCGGCCTACTGGATTTTCTTCTTCTCCTCCCCTCAAAATCTTCCATAACTGTCTTCATAATGGTATAAATTCGATCAGTAAATCTATATTATGAAAAAACAAAACAAATGGTAAGGTCGAACCTGTAGCTACATCCCTTACCCACTTAATCACAACTAACTGACATCATTCATGACTGAGTAGCAACTTCACACAGTCCCCCCAGTGGATGAAAAGGAGAACTGCAACAGTATAAGTGAAACAAATCTTCATTCTTCTTCTATAAAACAGTTTCTAAATGCAAAACAAAACTTAAGGTCGCAGGTTTTGTGGTTTCATAGCATGTTTTCAGTGAGTGACTCACCGTTCAAAATGGAAGAAAAAAAAAGAGAGACGATTATGACTGTTGTTCTAAACCACAGGAAGGATGTGGATATGTAGTTGCTGTTCATCTTAGATTTATCTGGAAAAGCTCTGGCCACACTCCATGTTTAAATATCAGTGGAAAAACTGCAACTGTGAAAGACAAGTGAGTTGACCAAAGAGGGGTAGGGGGGCAGGGATTGCAGATGTAGGCTATACAGAACCAAAACCCAACCAAATCCCTCATGTTGCACTCAGATTAATCTCATTACTGTAGCATCAAAAGACAGCTAAGCCGGCCACTGATAACAAGGCATCCAGCAGAGGTGGAGCAAACAAATCTGAGGCTTTAGCATTAATGCATGTTCAAAGAGTTCAAGATCCTAAAATAATTCATAACAAATGCCACTGTTACTGTTAATATTAGTGCCTAAAAACTTAATGTAACTTTATAAGGTGATCTCAGTGAGCTATTAGCACTGTCGGCAATATAACGCCACATTTTCCAAAACACCTTTCAACACATTTAGCAGTTTCACACATATGACTGAACCTTCTTCATTTTCCAATAAAGAGGGCTCTTCACAGGTCTCACTTGGCATTGACACTCCTCCTCAGCATCACTCTTCACTGAGGCAGCGGTTAGGGTCTTTATGTCGGTGTTATCCCTTATCCAGGAAAGGCATCTTTAATAAGTCTGATTGGTACCTATGCTGCAACTTTGCTTGATGGCTAAGCTAAATGAGCATTAAGGGTAACAAGTGAGCGTGTGTGTGTGTGTGTGTGTGTGTAAAGTTGAATCACTGTGGCCAACAGGATGCCAGCTGATGGGTGCCAAACCGAGGCAGCGGATGATGAAGATTAAGGGTACTGCAAGGATCAGAGTCGGAGATGGGGAAAGAGAAGGGGGCCTATGTGTCAAAGAGGAGAAACCTTCAGCCAGTCAGAACGTTACAAATCCCTTGCCAACTTCTCCGAGAAAACAGCTTTCGAAGAGGACTTTCTTTCAGCCCCCAGACTAGGAAGGCGGTGAGCCTCACAGGACCTCTCTGCTGCGTCCTCTCCATTGACTCCCCCCCTACACACACACACACACACTTTCTTTCAACCATTTCCCTGGCAAGACAGAGGGAAGATACTTATTTGTATCTCCTTAATAAAAAAAACTACCTCTTGTCTGGAGCTGTCATATCCAGCTGTGCCTGTGTTGACAAGGCAGCCGTCGAGGCCACCGGCAACAAAATACGTTCTGAAGTGGCCCATGAATATTTGAAGTGGATTACGAAGCAACATGAGGAGAGGAAGGGAGGCGTTCAGTGGATGGTGGGAGGGTTGGAAAACATGAGCGGGCCTCGATATGACTTTTAATTACATGTTACGTGTGACAAGACACAAAGGGGTGGTACGGATACGGGGTGGGAGAACTGACATACAATGCCTCGTATCTACAGTGATGCCGGCCACCTTCTTCAAATCATCCTAAATAATCCTCACATGTTTAATAAAATGTCAACTATAAAACACATCTTAAAAGAAAGACGGCAACACAGAAGAATAAGACAATCCCTCTTCACAATATCATTTAATGGACACAAGTGTTTCCTAAAAGACAATCTATAACACAGATAACACAGAAGCGTACACCTCCTATAATGCAACGCTGTGCTGTTTCTTTGCACTGAGCAGTCTCAGGTAGTATTCTCTTATCTCAGTTCATGTCATCAAACCTCTAGGGGATTCTTACTTGTGAGGCCTATAGAAAATGTTCATGGGTTATTCCAACACTCTATGAGATGACTATACATTAAGGGTGTCCCCCTGATGCACTACTGGCAAATGATAGAAAGAGTGCAGATAGAAGCAGGTTAATATACTGTGAATAATCCCTTTCTGTATCAGCCACTCAGCTGTCTTTCACCAGCACAAGAGTTTATCAGCTTCTAAAAGTTACATGGAATATCTTTAAAGTGACAATTTCCAAAATATATCTTTTCTATTTAAACTTAAACTTATGGGGCTATTGCTACTAAAAATACATTATTACCACTATTAATAATATGCATACTCGCGTAGCATATTATCTTAGAATCAGTTTAAACAGTTGTTACAGGCTTTCCATAGTCTACCAGCATATTAGTGGATCAGTTTTATAATACATATGTATCAGTGGTGGACAAAATTGACCTATACGCTAATTCACAGCAGCAGATATCCCATTATCAACCCCAGATACTGGTCTAATCCACATCATCTCCGTAACTCCCTGTGATCTCATTGACCAAAACACATACACAAATAAACCAAACACCCCAGCTCCTCTTTCGACCTCCTTTACCTTGGAAGAAACTCTTGACGCGGAGGTAGGAAACTGCAAGGCGCAGCACGGACAGCTTGTCCAGCTTGGAGATGACATCCGGGGGGAATGGCAGCAGGCTGGCCAGCCGGTCCAGCTCAGCATTCAGCCTGTCTCTGTGCCGCTTGGACGGGTTAGTTTTCTCATTGGCAGAAGACGGCTTCCTGATGATGAGACGTACAGAGGGCAGAGACATGGGCATCAGGAGTAGTGTGTGTGGATAGATTTGTGAGAATCAGAAATCGTGCATTCAGCTGTAAAATGCGAATCATTTTAGCTAAACAGCCACAGCTAAATCATGTGTTGTTTTTTTTCCCTCACTACACACATACTCGACTACACCGAGAACCACTTGAACAGGCGGTAGGTGACAGCAGCACACGGAAAAGAATAAACTTGTTTAAAGTCACTTGTTGGAGCCATGCTACTGTTCGTGGCAAAGTCAGTTTAAAACTCATCCCCACTGCAGTACATGACAAGCCTACAGGACCCCTAATGGTCTTGGTAAATTCTAAACTCAGACTAAGATCCTGTATTTATGCTTACCACAAAAACTTCCAAACACTCATTTCAACACATTTTCTGGGGAGAAAGAGGAGCAACGCCTGATTCATAAGACTGTTTATTGTATGATTTTCTGTCAGTGTGAAAAGATGGCACCAGACTTTTCACGGAAGAATTGGTTTGAATGTATTTTTCAGAAATAGTTTGCAATAAATACCTGTCAGTTCTGCTTAATATTTGTTCCTCATTATAATGATATAAACAAACAGGATCATGCTTTGCCTAACGTTTTGGTTAAGTATGGCAAGCGCCGCACCTTCCCTTCCCATGAAGAGACATCTGACCGAATAAATCACACTCTGCGCAAGTCCCTCTCGCTTTGAGTTAAGAGTTTATCGAGTTTCTCTCTCTGCAACAGACCTTTCCATGCTGACAGAAATCCTGTAGGTGTACATTAAAGTAATATATCTGTATTTACTAAAATCCTCTGTGGCTGTTCTATTCATCTTTGCAACTTCTGATTTTAAAGGTATTAGACATACTGGATTATCTTTCTCAGTGCCACAGAGAATGTAAAATGCTCCTCCGGCACAGAGTTGTTTGTGTATTTTAGGTGTACCACAGCTTTACCGGCTGAACTTAACATGATCCGCATATGTAATGGTCAGCTCCAATTACCACAGCTGAGAGATTCTGTTCATCTCCACAGAGACAAAATACTTTTACATGAATCCTTCAACTTTGTTTTAAATTCTGATCTGAATGTTCAGCTCAGCTAAAGTTTACTTCACTTCAGCAATTTTTATGAGGAATTAAAGGTAGGCCCTACCAAAACAATATAATTATTTTAATTTTAAACAGTGGATCAGTGGATAACTGAGGCGCTGAATTATAATTCAATTAACGTAAATAAAGTAAAATACGTAGTGGCATAACAGGCAGACTCGACTTAGAGGAAGTATATTTCTGTCTAGTGCACATACAGTGTTGATTTGATGTGGCAAATATTTCCTTTCAGATCAGCAGCAAAGGCAGGGCATAACATAAAAACTTTATAAATGCCACAGGCCTTGTTAAATTACCACTTCCTTCTTCAAAATCTTACATAACCTACATCCACTATTCATGACATCAGCTGACGCGATTATCCAAAAACAGTTCTCCTCCATACCAAAAACTATGGACACCTAAAACCCCATCACCCAAACACACTTTGACTCCTATGCCTGCCAGCAGTGCAAGAATTGCAAAGTTTTAAAAAAAGTAACTCTATGCTTAAGTCACTCCACTACCAATTATAAGTGATCAAGAGGGAGGAAAATACACATAGGACTATAGTTTGCCCATCATTTACCTCAATTTATAGCTATTTGGACAAAGAAATATTATGCTATAGTGATTGGTAAGAGGCTTCTAATTAGCCTAAATAATCACTTAATAATAGCCAATTATTAGCGCTATTACTATAGGCTATTATCAAATGATTATGATTATAACACAATATTAGAACTGGAAGTCCAACTGGGGCTAACACCGTTATTTTCACACCTTCATGTTGCTGCCTCTCAGTAACGTCCTGTAATTCATTCCAATTTAGCTACTCTTTAATGTGCCAAATCATAAGGTTGATAGTGAAGCAAAAAAAAAAGAAGCACATACTAAATGTGCAACCATTTACACTGATTTAACACATGTAACATATTCAGCAGCGCTCCTTAACTGTTTTTGGACGGGCTTCCTCCTCTTTCTGCCCGCATACATGCAGTCTCCCGGAGGGATCATGATCTTGCGCCCCGTGGAGGTAACAGGTGCGCTGCGGGTGAGACACAGAGGACGTTAACTAACAACACTAGAGAGAAACGCAACGCATGTAAGACAGTGAGCATTAAAACCAGACAGACAGAAAATTAAAATTAAAGTAAAAGTAATCCCAATTAAGCTGTAGTTCAAATTTAGACAACAGAGTCTGTGAATTAGCTAAGTAGGCTATTAAGACGTAGGCCTATGGCATATGAAAGCTCACTAACAACGCCAATAGTTAAGCTACACAATAAAATAACACACTTATCGTTTTTATCTAAACAATTTATCTCATCAAAATGATGACATACAGAAGACATGTTCGACCTACGAATAGCCTATAGGCTAAACTATGAAATAATAATATTATTAAAATCACAAACGTCAAAAAATAAAATCACAAACCCAAAATCTCGGTGGATATCAGTTAATTCCAGTATAGTGTTGGTTGTTCACATTCACTTTAAGAGCAGAAAAAAAGAGATGCGTCTCCCTGGGTGCACCGACTCGGTAATGCCAAATGGTAAATCCAAGGGAAATAAAATAAATTGGAAAGGTCCTGGGCGAGCTCCGAGCTGATGTTTTCATCAGCTTTAGACTGCTCGGGGCAGATGTTGGCTGATGCTTTATACCCAATTGAGTCGCCTTCACTTCCTCGCGTTTCAGGTGGCGGATTCCTCTGAATGACATCTCGAGCTCTTCGCACGCAACTCTCTGCCTCACAAACAGACCTCGAGCGCACACACACACACACACACACACACACACACACACCGGCTTAGCCTATGCGGCTTTCAAGTACTGTCTGCTTATGGGAATTACGACATTTCCATTTTTATTTGGCTTCCATATTTGTGGTTTTGCTTTTATAAATAGCCTAATAGGCTACAAACCACACGACTCGTTTCTTACTGTGGCTGTTTTATTTTTTGCATACTTTGATAAGCACTAAGCAACATTAAGAAAATGCCTGTCTACAGGCATTTTCTCTTTATTCTGTGGCTACAGCTTTTGTTTGGCTTCCGAAAAACATAAAATAAAAACGCCACTGAAAATACCTTATTTTAATAGAGTGCTGTTTCTTTTAAGGAAGGACCTATTTTAGACCTATGCATTTTCGACTTAAATCGTTTTAATGTGTAACAAATTTTTATATTTACGAGGAGTGCTTGAAAGTAGCAATAGCCCCAAACCGACCCGAGCCTGCTGCCGCGCGCAGCACAACGCATTTTCTGAGCGGCGCGAGGGGAGGGATCACACGCGAAGGGCAGCAGTGGCGCAAATCTCCAGATTCACACTGAAGCTATCCGCGGTCGACGGCACACACGGACCAGAGGGTTTTACCACAGCGGCCCGTTAAAGACAAACACACATTTTACAACGAAACGTGCTGTACTTGAATATAATACTGCGTTGGAAGGGACTGGGTTTCTTATAACGAATAATGAATTCAGCGGATGTAGCTTTCGCTTTCTGGGACAAGATTTGGCAGCTGCGTCAAGCTCGGAACAGATGCCAGCCTTAATCCGGAAATAAGATGTTTATTCCTTCAAAACAAAAGCATTAACGTGTCTCGGATCCTTTAGCCTACCCAATGTTCATCTGTAGGGTCTCTGGAATAAATTGTGACCCACTGTGAGTGTGAAAAGACTAATCAAGGTCTTAGTGATTCTATTTCTTGCAGACCAATTTTAGTGTAAGTTTGAATGCCGATTGATTATCGCATTCCTTTGAGTAGTCTGGACTATCTGTAACAACACTGCGAAATCCTCGTGGATATCGTCGTATTTTGAATTGTATAACCGGAAGTGATATTACAATCGGATTAACATTACAGAGTTCGATTGCATTTCTGTAAAAATAATGGATACTGAATTTAATTATTCATTGATTACTTAAGCGATAAGACATCAGGAGACACCGTTTACTGTCTGTAGAAAATGGAGGCGTCTTGTTGCCTACTCTTGATTTGTTGCGGAGTTGCATGGATTGTGAATTTACATAGTAAGAAGAAACCAGAGTAGCCAAAATATTTTATTCTTTTATCGGTTGAAACTGATTTTAGTCATCAATAATATCTGGTTGTCAAGTGAAATCAGGTAGGCCTAGTTGGTTATTTACAGCGCGTACTGTAGGCCTATGTAAATGGTCGATGATAACAAAAGCTTCAAATGGGACGTATTCAGTCTCGAGGCTGTGTTTGTAGGCTATTTTTACGTTTATATTTAAGGGTTATATTTGTATTCAGTGTTGCCGTTTATAAAAAGGTTGCCTCAGACTGACTGCGGCAAGTAGTAGACTTTTTATACAGTCTAAGGCAGTAGACTATGTTTTCGTGTCGGAGAGCCATAGACAAAACCATTTGCTGCAAAATACAAGCCTAAGTGGTTGAATGATCTTTGGATAAATGCAGGATAGGCCTACCATCTGCAGCTATAAATGCCTGCAAAAGTAAATGGAAAAGGAAAAAAGGATGCAAACTGTTAAATACTGCTCTGGTATCAGAGAACAGCTTGTGTCACGCCATGGCAATGTCCTTTAAAAATGCTCATGTGATTTCATACTAAATATGTAAGATGTTGTAAATAAAGAATGAAAGGCATTTCTAATCTGGTGTATTTAAATACGTCTTATAGATTGAAATACATGGCTGATCTATTCCCATCAAAATAACCTTCAAAATTGCTTTTCTGTGCTCTTTTCGTTTGTAAAGAAATTCATTCTATCCTATGTTAACTTTTGTTTTCATGGGTGCTTGTAAAACGTAATAACCTAATAAAGTTTGCCATTGTAATATAGTGTGTTTTGTCATTGACAACAGGAATATATGCACAGTAAGTACTTTGTAAGGCAGTATATATACTGTACCGCACCCTAGTGTACATATGCATGCACTACAAACAGTCCAGAATGCCCCTTGAGCACAGGTTGCTTATTGTGTATTTACATGTACTAAATCATGCAAGGGTATGGCTGAGATACACTTTTCTTCTTTAAATAAACATGACATAGTAGGGGAGAATTCCCCTTGGTGATGTTGTGCCACATGTGATTACACATACAACTATATAAATAAGAAAATACCCTTAATGGTACGTGTATGCCTCAGTTGCTTGATTTCCCAATAAAATGAATATATGCAACATTAAATTACAAAAACAAAGGCAAACACATTGTGGCTGCCATATCATCTCTTTAGCACAGCACAAACAGAAAACAGAATGTAAACAATAGAGAAACATTTACTTAGAATATTAATTCATCTAATAATAATATTAAACGTCGACTGGAGAGCCTAGAGTCATATGGCCACGATGTTGTGTTGTGATTTTGCTCCACCTTCAACCAATAAGATGATTTCCAAATATCATGCTGTTGTAAGTGTCTGTCAGGGGTGATGTTTATATTTGTTGTGACAGGTGCAGCTGAAGCAGTCCTAAGCCATTAAAGCTACAGGGAGCTTTGGTATCAGTGCAAATCCACTGGCAACACTATTCAAGCCACCTTCCAGATTGGCCCAGGCTTAAAGCTCTGCTAATGCTGCCAGGGCCGACCTTTGCACGCAACCCTGTGTGTGTGCGTGAATGCCTGTCAGTGTCCGCTGTGTATGTGCAGTGGCTTAATACACATTTCAGAATAATGACTACAGAGCCATATAGGACTTAGGACTTGAAAACCATCTGCCAGGTGCAGGAGTGTGGCTTTCATTGATTAAGACGTCTGTGTTAGCATCGGCGTGGGATTTCAGGAGACGTGTAGAGTTGTGACATGACATCTCTGAATCTAATGGACATTCATAATTGACAGGATGGTCAATATTGGAAAGACGACTTAAAATGTAATTAACACACAGTATAGCTAACAGTCTTGACCTTGTGCACAAAGAGGTGAATGCAGGTCACTAACCTTGTGACTGTGTGAGAAAATATGGTAAGATTTAAGTTGTTGGTGTAAATCTTGTCTATTTTTAACAATGGGCGTGGTAAACAGAGGTGATGACCTCCCCCACAGATGAAAGCATTCAGAAAGCAAGAGGAGAGTTCACAGTCTGGCAAGTGCTGCCTCAAAGCAGGAATGATGTTGTCTGGATTGTACAGCCAAGAGTATAATCCATGACAGCAGAGAGCTGTTAATGGACAAGACCAGCTCCAGAAGTCCTGTTAGGTCAGACACATGTTCTGACCCTTAGGACTTGCAGGGAATACACATATTCTAACATACAAAAACAATGGCAGTTTCAACTGTTCTGAATCAATAGTCAATTTTTTCTACACGTAACAAAACATTTTTGCAGTTTATTTTCAGTAGTTTTGTGCTCCAAATATGTATGATCTGCTGGTTACACACAACAAGGCGATATCACCCAGTGGAGCCAAATGCAAAAAAATAAACCTCAAACTCGTGCTTTGCAGTCACGTTTCCACCAGTCCCTGTATAAAAAACTGTGTCAATCGGTTTTGGAGGGAAAATTGTGTTTTGGGACTCTGTGGGGATAATCTTTTGTTGACATTTGGATTTGGGCTTTTCAAAAGTCATTTTGTGGTCACAAGGGTCAGATGGAGGTTGTCTTCCTCCTAGACTCCTCTCAATATCCATCCCATGTCTGTGGCTCTGTTTCTATCAGTTTTAGTGAGCGTGAAGTACACAGGAAAAGAGAGGGGGACAGAGAAACAGTTATAGCGCCACAGTGTTGTGTAACACCCAGGATGCTGGGAAACCCTAGGAGCAAAATGAGTCACTTTTGCACAAATGAATGTTGACAGTGGAATGCTAACGTAAAATCAGGCTGCAACTGTTTGTTTTGACCTAGTTTACAGAAACAATACGCAAGGCTATGATAGTTGTGCACACTGGCTATTGGATGTACTTTAGCTTTAATTAACAACTGTTTAAAATGTGTACAAGTGCTGACAGGTCTTCACTGAGGAAGAGGGCAAAGTGGGCAAACGGTGTAATGTGACCAAGAGCATAAAAGGTGTAAAATGTGAGCTCACTGTGCTCAAAAGGAAAGCTCCAAAGGGGCTCTCCACTAAATCACAGAGTCTGAGAGACCAAGCATTACAGAACACACACACACACACACACACACACACACACACACACACGCTGTAGTGAAGCCATTGCCCTAGGTGATGTAGATCTGAAAACCGCACTGGCTTGTACAGCCAGAGGCCAGTGCCCACAAAGTGAATTGCACGGTAATTGCACCCAAGCTTTTGGCGAAGACTCCCAAATGCTGGGAAAATCATCCATATCAGGAAAATTAGACAAAATGTGTCACCGTCGGCAGAGAGCAAGTCACTTTTTTTGCATTTCAACCCAATCCTAAATCTCCACACACACACACCTGATGGGACACAGCACCATTACAATTCATTCAGTTCACTACTTAATCGTAAAATCTTGTATTTCTTTTAACAGGTGAAATAAATTGGGGGAGCGTCCAAAGATATTCAATCACAGAACTCACTTTCCTGACTGTAGTGAAGTGAGATTCCCATATTCTACCTTCTACCAGGGTAATGTCACTTGTTCTGACAGTTTTTAAAGCAAATGAAATGGCTTTATTATCGGCAGATTTTTTTTGGTTGACCCGAGGTAAATGATCTTAAGTAACTGTCTTGTCAAAATTTTGCAGCACATTTGCATTTGTGAATTTAGTGAAATGTTCCGTAACATTTGAAAGTAGAAGACAATATGATACATTTTATTATATTAATTACATGTTACCAAACTGCTCCTATTGAGATTTACGTGGGTTTAGGTGTTGTGTTAGTCTGTCCTCAGTGTGTCTGTTGAGGAATACAGTATGTACTGCTATAGGGAAGAACTGGGAATGAAGATCGGAAACACTGCATATAGTGAAATTGCGTATCTTAACCTAGGCTTTTCCTTTAAGACAGACAAAGGTTCCTTCATCCAGCCCATTTTACCACAGAGAGGACACCGCATTCAGCTGATGAGGCAGACACCTTGGCTGAGGCCGTCTTGCCAGTAGCCATGGTAGTTGAAAATATAGTCAGTTTGAAAGAAATTAATTTAATCATTAAAGAAATCTTCTTTCTGAGTCACAATCTACATCACTGATTTCGTGACCTCTATGATCTATGGCCGTTGTTTCTCACTACTGCATGACTACTGTGTTCACAGTTACAAACAATATTATTAAATGTTATCCAATCCAATCAAAACCATATGTGAGTGAAATCAATTGGGAGGAAATTGAATGAGTCACTCGATTTGCTGCCCACATGCCACAGCAATGTTAATATATTCCAAATGTATTTCCCTCTCCTACAGTTTCTTAGGGCTCACATATGACTGTACAGCTGAGCACTCAATCTGCCACAGCCCTGGAGAGAAAAGCTTTCCTACGCTGAGTGATGCTTTTCATTAAACTCTACAGGAACCCTGTCGCCTGCCTGTCGGGCCAGTCTATATCCAGGTCGTCAATAATTATTTCAACAACGCCAGTGTGTTGCTATTTGGTCAT